AATTATTTTTTAAAAAAATTAAAGAATTTTAATTATCTTATGCATATCATCAGATCATAGTACAATGAAACGAGAAATACATGGCAAAAGAAACCACAGAAATTATGCAAATAAGAGGGGGTTTTTTCTTTTCTTTATTTGATCTTTTTGAGTCCGGGTCTCGTTATGTGCTTCAGGCTGGCCTTCAAGTCACTTTGTAGTCCGGGCTGGCCCTGAACTACAATCCTCCTCCCTCACCCCCCCAAGCACTGGGATCACAGGTGTGCGTCGCCACACCTGGCAAATGATGTATTCAGGGATAATCAACGGGTCGCAGAAGAAATGCAGGCCCTAACAGACGGTTCTCAGAGTCAAAAGACAACACCAGCAGGACACAGCAGAAGTCATGAGCTACAGCAAAAGCAGTCCTAAAGGGAACTTTACAGCTGTGGACGCTCACGCAGCAAAAACAGAGGGAGCCAACTAAATAATCTAATCTAGAAACACAAGAGCAATCAAAACCCAAAGGTTGTATTTTTAAAAAAGGAAACTATAAAGTTCAGAGAAGAAATTAATGAAATTCAAACTAAAACAATACAAAAAAATTAGTGAATGAAGAGCTGGTTCTTTGAAAGAATAAATAAAATAGACCAGCCTGTAGCCAATCTTACCCAAAAAGGAAAGGAAAGACCCAAGTCAATGCAGGTGGATGAACACCTGGTACTGGTGGGGCTGTGCTCCAAGTTGGAGAATCCAAAAGAAATAGATGGATTCCCTCCATACATGTGAATTACCAAAGCTGAAACAAGAATATTTAAAAATGCTGAATAATCCTATATCATGAAATTGAGGCAGTAATTAAAAAGAATCCTACCAACTAAGAAAAGCACAGGTCCTGTTGAATTCTCCAAGATCTTCAGAAGATATAATGTCAATAGTCTTCAAACTCTTTAATGAAATTAAAAAAGGAAGAAGTAACCTCAAAGTCATTCCTGAAAGATACCATTACCCTGGCCTCAATAACAGACAAGAATCCAATTGAGAGAGGGAGAGGGAGGGAGGGAGAGAGGGAAAGAGGGACAGAGAGAGAGATGGGGAGGGAGGGAGAGAGAGGGAGGGAGGGAGGGAGGGAGAGGGGGAGAGAGGGAGAGAGGGAGGGAGGGAGGGAGGGAGAGAGAGGTATACACGCTGCCTCTCTAATAAACAGAAATCCAATAATCCACACCAAGATCCTGGCAAAGAGCATGTGGCAAATCAGCAAAGTAAGCACACACAATGACCAGGAAGGCTTCGCCCCAGAGGTAAGGCTGGCTCGACACACACAAAAGGGTAAATGCAATGCATCGCATAAACAGAACAAGGACAAAGATCACATGATCATCCCAAGAGATCAGAAAAAAGTCTTTGGCAAAATCCCAAACCCATTCATAATTCAAAAAAAAAAAAAAACTCTGAATGAAATAGATACAGAAGAACTTTTGTCTCAATTTGATAAAAACCATTTATGACAAACCTGCCTTTATTATATTTGCAAACATATTTGGTTGTTACAGGGTCTCACTATGCAGCTCGGACTCCTACTAGTTATCCTCCTGTCTTCAGCCTCCCCAGCACTGGGATTACAGGCGTGCACCACCATGCCCAGTCTTGGTGCCCGCTCGGCATGCCTGGGGGGCACAGTATGTGGTGCCAGTGATCAAACCCCAGTCCTTGCTCTTGCCTAAGCAGGAGCGTAGTCCAAAGTTATCTTTATTTGCAGACAACATGATCCTCTACATAGACGACCTCCAAAATTCCATCAAAATTAATAACCAAATTCAATGCAGTGTAGCAACATACAAAATCAACACACAGACTTCACTAGTGTTTCTCCATGCCAGAAAGGAGTTCACTGAGAAAGACATTAAGAAAACTACCATTCACAATAGCATCAAGAAAAGGTAAATACTTGGGGATAATCTAACCAAGGAAGTGGAAGACCTCTACTGTGGAAACTGCAGTACTCTGAGGGCCGGCCAGAGAGCTAAGGGGATTAAAGCGCCTGCTTAGGCAGACGCGGGGACCAGAGACAACAGATGAAACATGGTTAATCCCAGTGCTTGGGAGGGTGGACACAGGGGGGCCACGACGAATCCAATCTGTGCAGTGAGACTCTGCAGACCCTATACTAAATACATAAAGTAATAATAATGTATAGTACTCTCAAAAGGGAGTTTGAAGAGGCCATCAGAAAATAGAAAGGTGTTACGGTTTGTGTGTATCTGTCCACCCAAAGCCTCATGCAGTCACTGAGGCGCAATTCTACAAAATTAGTTCATGATCCAAGGCTGGGATTATGGGTCTGAGTACTGCTGGGATTGTGGGTGTGAGTGCTGCACCCAGCCTGGGCCGGTACCCGAATGGAACACAGGGAGACAGACCCGCTCTCGGTAGCCACCGCTGCCACCGCTCCTCCCATCTGCTCTTGCTTTGCCGCCACCGTGAACCGCTGCCCTCTGCCATGTGCCACTCTGCTGAGTATGGACCGGAACCTCCCGTGCCTGCGAGCTAAGTAAACCTCTCCTTCCTTCATTCTGGGTGTCGGGTATTTGTCCCAGCAATGAGAGAAGAGTAACTGAGACAAAAGGCATCCCCTATTCCCAGATAGGCAAAACCAATGTTGT